CCGTGGGGGGGTAAAAGTGCGTGAGCGGCACTGTATATGGTACATAGAGAAAAGTAGTAGCGTTTCAAAAGTAATACGTTTCAAAGGTGCACGTTTTCTTTTCATAAAAGTAGACCATTAGTGAAATCCATGATGTTAGTTAGTACTACCGGTTACATTTTAGATGTATTTGGTCCCTATTTGGTTGATGGAAAAAACAACGACGCTAATATTTTGGATAGCTTAATAAAGCAAAAAAATTCCGAACTTTTAAAATGGCTGTGGCCTGAAGATAATTTTTTGTAGATCGTGGATTCCGAGACTGTATATCCACTCTAGAAGAATGTGAGCTGATTCATAAAATGCCTCATTTTTTGGGTAAAGGTTTCCAACATCACACTATAAGCGTAAGCGAAGCCTGGGTTATTACTAATATTCGGTGGGTAGTTGAGGCTGTGAATGGCTTAATAAAGATGTGCAAAATGTTGGCAAATATTGTCCCTAACTCTCAAATCCCTTATATTAAAAATTATGTTCGTATCGTATGCACTCTCTGTAATGTATATAGACCTCCCCGCGTTCATGCTTCATCGGACGATGAAATCATTGCAGAGAGAATGTGTATATTAAGTAGAAAAACGAACGTATTTCAAAAGATAGTATAAGATAATAAATGGGCTCATAAGACTGTAATATGGAATAAGATAGAAGCTGGATCTTTACTTGACTTTCCACGGTTAACATTTAACGACCTCCACAGAATCACAGTAGGAGTTTATCAGGTCAAACAGGCTAAATCGTATACGAGGGAGCATATGAACGATGATGGCAGTTAAGATGTTTATGTGCACAAGGAAAAAAGCGATATATTAAGAGTAAAATTACAATCACGTCATATTTCATCGAAGCAGTACCAACTTTGGATAAGATATCTAATAGATGACTTTGATCCAATTAAAGGTTGGTATTGTCAGTATAAGACCGCAGCTCGTACAGTAGGGTGTTGTGCACATATTGCCTCAATTTTATGGTTTCTAGGATATTATCGATATTTACAAGAGAAACAACAATATAATAGTGATAAGTAGTTCGAACACGAGTTAGACGCTATGAACTGGTCTGAATCAGACGACACGTTAGATGACAATGACAATTCTGACAACAGTTAAGAATTATGTATAGAAAAACCCTTTCGATATTGAAATACTTGATAGATTCATCAATCAGTAAAATACTAGCATACAATACAAAGATAGAAACACAGACTGATACAGAAATAAATAGACACATACAAAGACAGAGAGACAGACATGATGTGTAAAACCCGATCGCGCACGGTAATGCCGATGGTAATAATAATTACTATTATCAAATGATTTGATTTGTAGCTTTATGACTTGTGAATGGAAGACATTAAGAATTAACCAAGTTCAAGATCAAGAGCAAGGTCACTGATGTATTGTTCGATCCTACTTTTCATAACGGAGAGTACACTCCTCTAAATATTAAAATGAAATAGGGTCATGATTTATCGTAAACTCCACTCATTTAGATTTAACCTTGAACTCACCTTAGCCATGACTTGATCGAGTCAAACAGATCCCAAATTCAAATTCAGCAACTCCTAAAACATATAATTACATCGGTTTACTTTGTAAGTTGCTCATTCAGTACATTTAACCTTGAATTGACCTTGGTCCTGACCTGATGAAGTCAAACCAATCTTGAATTTGAATTCAGCGACCTCAAAAACATATGGAATACCTAATGTTGTTCGTGATGCACATTTGAAAAGATTTATGGATCTGTGACAGCTATCAGTTTCCTTATTGACTTTTCTCTTTAATTAATAACATTTGAATAATAATCAATTTTCGTAGTTTTGCAAAATCTTATAATATAAATATAAAATCGGTTAATTAAGATTAATAAATTATAACAATATTGTCATTATGTAAAGAATTAACTCTTTCGATTCATATACTATTATATGTTTAAATAAATTATTAATTACGTATTTATTGTAAACAGTAATAACTAAGTTGTTATCAATGAAAAGAATCCTTACTCATGTTTCTCAGATAGTCATCTTGAGTTCAGAGTATCCGCTCTATTATAATAATTAACATTTACAAAGTTATAAACAAATTAAGTTTTCACATTAAAATTTAATACGATTTAGTAGTTAAAAGTAATTAAAAATATTATAATCTTAATCTATGCCCTAAAAACTATATAAAAAATACTTTGTTTCATTGAAATTATTCTTAATAACGCATTTTAATTGAACAATAAAAATTATCATATCTTTATCTATAAATAGAGTGACGTCACGCTCCTTATATGGTTATGAAATTTGACTCTAGCACTAATACAATAATATAATATGTGGAGTGGCGCCATTTAATATATTAATTTATATATGTAGATTCATGAGTTTAACGGGTTGCAGTAATCCAGTGAAAATAAGAGAAGAGCTCATAGATAGAACCGTTACGTTAGCGCGACAACAAACGTCACCGACTAACCAGCTAATCACTTAATTCTCCACACTGTAAAATAAACCGCGAGGAAATATGATTTCCCCTTTCATGCGACAACTCTTGTGAAGGGGAGAAAGAGAAAACAAGTCCAAAAATTAAAGAGAGTGATTACGTTGGAGACGGAGAGAAACCAGAGACGGAATGAGAGAGAAATACTTCTCTCTCTTGCCTTCGCGATTCTATACTTATGAAGTGCACATCGAGCATATACACGTTTGTTAATTCTGCATAAGGCAGCCTCGACTCGCGGATAGACGTGTGTCTTTTTGTGACTGCAGAAAGCAACAAAATTGCGCATTTAGGCATTCTTATTTAAAAAACCTTGACATAAGCTTTCTCATACAAGTGATCGCTTAGTGACACCTGATCGTCTGATGTTTACTCTAGCTTGGGATGTAACACCAACGTGATACATATATTGCTGAAAGACCCAAAAAATCTGTTGTATTCTTTTTAGTTTTACATTCGTTACATTTTCTTGAAATTATTATTTATCGAATCCTCGCTTACCGTAAAAATCTTAGTTCGAATTGATTCTGCATTCGATTCGTATTCTTGCGCATTTGTTCCGATACAAAGAAGCGCATACGCAATAGACCTTAAGCATTGAACAGCAGATCGAGGCGACTATTATTCTCACACTGGGGGATACATTGTTAAAAGAGTTTAATAAATTAACTATCCGTTAAAATATAAATCAGTTATCTTGTTGTTTTTTCCAAAACAAAGAATTTCTGAAGATGGTTGTATAGTTACTGAAACGTTAACATAAAATTAATTTTGCATTGATTGGCTGGTTAAGAAAGATTTTGCCTTGACTGGCTGAGCCATGAAAGGTCTCGCCATAACTGGCTGCACTGTGCAGAATCTTGCTTTCACTGGCTGGACTCTGTAGAAACCTTGATTTGTCCGGCTGGTCTGGAAAGAGTAAAACTTATTTTTTGGATTAGTTATTTTTTTCCATCAAGATAATTGATTGAAGTTACGTACTTTAGCAGTTCTACAAAACATCTGAACAGCCCAAACCACTGTAACCTTAGAATCCAATTATCTTAACTCTCGATTTGTGTAGCCTGTGACCTTATAATCCTAAACCCTTAAAATCTAATTGCCTGAACCCCCAACCCCTGTAACCTGTGATTTTACTGTTGTTCGAAATTGATAAAATATTTAACATCAATTAATGATAGCTCAATGGAAAAAAGATATCACTAATCCAAAAAATGTAGGTTAAGGAATAAGAGTGATGATTTATGATGGTTTTACTAGTTTTAGGATACAGTTTATTCGCAGTGTTACATAATTCAAACATAACAAATAATCGTGATTTTTATACTTTGCAACGGTAGTCGATTTAATTAATCGATCCGTTCGCGATTCTCCTTTTCGCGCGTTAGTTCTAACAATTAAGAGAGAGAGAGAGGGGGAGCGCGATCTTTTGAATGAGCAGTTACGCCTCAGCTGCTCACGCGAGTTTACCGCTGATTTGTGTTTCGCACTTAGTTTCGCCAAAATAAAGTTTTCTTTGGACAATTACGTGCGTGCGTGCAACGACAGTATTGCAGCAGCAAGCAGCGGTGCAGAAGCAGCAGATTGCAGCAGATAAAGGCAGATCGAGGCAGCGCAGCTGATAAATCGAGGAGCAGCGGCAGTTGATATTTTGTATCAACAATTACGGCTGATCACCGTAATTGCACCGCATGGTAGATGCACCTTCCGTTATTATATGCGATACAAAATACATTTGGTGTATTGTCTAATCGTGTTAGCGTTATTTTTTGTATTCGCGTCCAGCGTTAGTTTGCGGTAGAATTCGAATCTTCTCTCTCTCTCTCTCTCTCTCTCTCTCTCTCTCTCTTTCTCACCGAACATAGTTAATTGTAAAATCCTATTCGCGTGCGTTAGTCTTTCGGCCCTACAAAGACTATAGTGATTTTTATTAATTAAAGTCTGTTAAATTTATTCGCCGTTTTCGTCATTTAATTTTCCTAGTAGCTTAAGTAATTGAAAAAGGCTTAGGGTTTAATCTGATTACATCTAGGGGATTAAGAAGATTAAGAGTAAAGTCGCTCACACTTAAAACTCATCGAGTGTCATAAGACACGTGACTTAATGTGAGTTCAACTCCGTTTGATAGAAGACAATTAGGATAAATCATCTGACGTTAAGGCGAATACACGAACTATCATAGGTGTTTAACGGAGCGGCGGTTTACTCAGCATCGTGGGAGTTTGTTCTTAAATAAATTTTCCATTTTTCAGATAACCTTCCCTGTTACAACTTTTAGGTTAGGATATTTCGAGAAACTTAGACGCAATGGATCAGTTCTGAAGTTATGTTCTGATTTAGCGCATCGAATACCTCTGGAAATATACTATCGCGTATCCGGGTTTTTTTAGATGTCGATCTATGTAATCCGATCGAGTTTGATCTGAGCAATAACTTGAAACTGTGTTTTTAAAAAATTATATTTTTTTATTATTTTCTTTACGTACGACAACATTTATAAAATAGCAAAATTTAACGTTTGTAAAAGCATTTTCCTATTAATGACGATTTATCCGCTAATTTATAAATTTGAAATTACTTTTATTTACAATGATGATTTATCTACATTCAATTTTACTTTGCTGTTTCAATACCGCTTGTACACATTTTGCCATAGTTGGTGATGCTTTAGAAATTGAGTCCGTCATATAAAACTGATCTAGAGTCTTTTGCTTGATATTAATAGGCTCCAAGAGAAACGGCTGATGATCGAGCTGAAAATAAAAATATTATTAATTAGTTTCAATAATAGTTGGAGTCATTGTAAATAATATATAAATTTAAATCCTATATTCATCTTAAAAGAAAAAATAAGCGTTATAAATAAATACTATATATATATTTTTTATTTCAAAAAGAAGTATATATTTTAAAAGATCTCATTCAGGAATTAAATAATTTGATAATGTATTAAATTGTAACGGGGTGGATATTACGTTTATTCAATTTAATGCGCACGATCGTATCGAAGAGCGCGCGTTCAACCTATACGTTCAAACACGAAAACCGGAGAGCAGGAGGGTACGGATATCAGTCAACCAACTATCTACTATTGAAATAAATACGATGAAATTCTAATCAATATCACATGCGAGATCATTTATTTCCTCTAAGCTGTACACTGTATTCGGCCCGCGTGTTTATGTTTATAGTACGCTCGCGCGACAATAACATGTGGAGTCGGATCGCTCGCCGCTCTTTGTTTGCCGAGATAATACATGCACGTTTCCTAGCGAGTACGAAAAATTAGTTATTTAAAAATTCTGCCACAATTGCGAAATTAAGCTGGCTAGCTTACCTTATTAACAGTTGTACGGCAACACGAGAGAATGTAGCTCACAATCGAGTTTCGGTAAAGTCTATTGCTTTTTTTTGTTTGCGACGAGAAAACTTGCATTCACGGTTGCGCCCTCGATGGCGAAACTCCTCATTCGCACACTCTTGCACGCACTCATAGTGTTCAGTATCAGGCACGGCTCCTGCAGGCTTAGATCAGCTCGTCTCGGTACTCAGAAAAGCTCGGGAACTATCAACTATCCCACCTTGCACAGCTTAGCGACCGGGTGCTAAGTTTCGACTCCTCTCAGGCGATATCGATAGCTGGTCCTCGACTGACTCATTTTCATACGCGCGCGTTCCGTCCCATCGCGTGCCGAATTCCCTCGTCACCTTTTCCCCAACCGGTAGGTGCTGCCCTCGCGGGCAGCCGCACGGCTGGGCCGTTAACACTAATAAGACGTTTACCGTCACAGCCCCGTTCCAGTTTGGACCTATGAGGTCCTCGATAGAATTATTAGCGCTATTTTTTTGGAGGTTAAGACGGTAAAGGATAATAACAGGTCACGTTCTCCGTGATATTTCGTTTTTATTGGACGTTGTTGTCGGTGTGGCCCTGCCCATGGGGCAGGGATCTTTAACCTGGCCGGTCACTGGGGTATCTCCCGGCTTTCTGCGTCTAACGGGGGGCGCCCGCGTGCCTCCCATTCCAGTCTCTCCGGGACCAGGTCGATGTGCTGTCGGACCCGGGGACAACGATCTGTACGGATCATCCCGGGGTAGTAGCACACGTTGCACCCTTCCCACTGTGCGCGGGAGAGGGTACCACTAAGGAGGCCTCGCTTCCTGGGGGTCAGCGGCAACCCGTCACGTCTGTTCGGGGTGGACCACAACGGTCTGTCGGCCGTGTGGTCCTCACCCGCGGACCTCATCACAAGGTTTATGTGGATGGGTCCAGTTGCTTAGCCTCCATTACTGCTGTCCACGTTTACCACGAGGTGTACCCCGCACGTCCGCGGACCCCGCTGCGTCGTGACCTCTGACCTGACCTCTAGAGCCGCTGGTCTGGCTCCGACGGCTGGAGGCTGGGTGGGACCATTAGGTGCGTCGCTGATCGGGCCCTCGAGGGCCTGGCGGTGTCGGCGTTGAACCTCTTTCAGCGCTTGTGCGAATTGGCGCCGGCGGGACACCACCTCGCTCCAGTAATCCATATCACTGGGGCGGTGTCCCGTAGTCATATACGTGTCGTATTCCGCGTATACGGATCGTTGGAGGGTATCGAGGGTGATCCAGCCTTGTTCGACCTCCTTCAAACCCTCCACTATCTCCTCCCAGGTTCGTTCACCAGGCGAGGGTGCCTGGCTAGTGAACCTGGGGTGCCAGGTCGCATCGTCGAAGGCTCCCTCCGTCTGCGTGCCTACGGAGGATGGTGGGGGCCTCATGGGGATTGCTCCCACTGGTGCTGCGGGTCGACTCTTTGCGCACGACGCCTTGCACTGTCGAGGGGCGCAGTGATTCTTCGCCAGCGACCTCCTCGATAATCACGGATGACGAGCTCGCATGAGCTCGCATCCATGTTTGCTCTTCTTCCTTCTTCTTCTCTCCAAAGAGGTATAGGGCGACGTACACGACTCCCTCGACGGCGGGACCTAGGTCCAGCCTAATGAGGGCGGCTGCCGCTTCTTCGAATTGCTCGAAGGCGATCTTCATCCTGTAACAGTCACGCGTATCAGAATCTATAACCCTTTCCTCGGGTATCGAAGGTGGGCGCCTGTTCGGCTGCCCAGGGCCTTCGTCGCTGGGATTGAAGGTGGGGTCCTTTGTGTCGGTCTCCCAGGTCCTTCGTTCGCAGGGCCTCATGCATCCACGGTCGGTGTTCTTGGCGGCCTACCCCTCTTTCTTTTCCCCACGATCGGAGGGGGAACACGTGGATTCTGTCGATACGGTGTAGTCTGGGTGGTTAGCGCGTTCTTACGAGGTCTCCCTCGCGGGCGCTTTGCTGTGTTAGTTGGACGGGTGGTTATCAGGATCTTATCGGAGGGATCCGAAGGGACATGACGAGGTTGGTTCGAAGTTGTCGCGCTATCATTCCGGATTGCGTTATCCGTAATAACGGCGTGTCCGCTTCCGCGTGTCGTCGCATCGCTCACAGTAGGCGGAATGCTCGTCGCCTCGGTTCCCTCGTGAATAATCAACAAACCAAGGTATGTGGCCTCGAGCTTACAGAAGACGCTCTTCTCTCGCTTAATTGAGAGTCCGGCTCGACATAACCTATCCAATACGGTTTTAAGATGTTGTAGGTGATCTTCGAATTTGGACGATACTACTATGATATCATCCAAATAGGCGAAGGCGAAATCGCCAAGCTCAGGTCCGATCACGCTATTTATTAACCGTTGGAAGGTGGTGTCGGCGTACGAGGGACCGAACAGCATTCGTACGAACTGGAAATGTCCCAGTTCGGGCACGGTAAAGACAGTGATAGGTCGATATTAGGTCTTGATTGGTATCGTATCACCGACCCGAATCTCGTGTTCAATGCCTGTTGCGCATCCCAGTCCCACGGGGGCCTGCGATAAGGCGTCGCCGATGGTCCTCTGCAATATCGCCTGTTGAGAGGCTGTTACCTCGGCTAGTCCGATAGTAGCTAATCTCGGACCAGCCTCAAAACTAGCTACCTCTAGTTTCATCTTGGGTTGTGATTTCTTGAGCAGTAATGTATCATCGTCCGGATCAAGTACCGCTCTAAATAACCTAATAAAGTTTACTCCTAGAATACATTCATCGACGAGGGTAGGGAGGATAGCTACTTTCGTCGGCATCGACATATCCCCCACGGCGAACGGCAACATGGCATGACCAACGATCGTTAACTTACGACCATCTGGTAGTCCTGCCGTACCCAAGTGGGTGGTATCTAACCTGACGCCTAGCACAAACGCTATCTGCAGAGCATTACTACCCATTGCTGTGGTGGAAGCCCCCGGATCATAAGGAACCCGTATCTGGAAGTCTCCTATTTTTACCGGTAACCACCAGTGCGTTTCCTGTTCCGGTGAATATTGCGAAACAAATTCGGCGGCTCCACAGTCCTGCTCATTGCAGATCATAGCGCTAGCCACTGTGCTTTCGCGTGGTAGAGTGACGTCACTTTTCGCTCCAACCACCTTGGTTCGGACGATCGGAGTTTTCATGGGGTTAACCTTCGACGGTTTATCTGCTGCTACCCGCGCCCCCGAGGGCGTGTGCGATCCATTCGCCACCACCTAGGCCGGTCCAGGGTCTTGGGCTTTACTAACGTCATTACCCTCTCTCTCCGCGTTCACTCTACCGCCACGTTCGTCATCGGGCGTCACCAGGGGAGTTCTCGCTCTCGTCGCTCAACACACTCGCTACTATCGGTGTTGACTGTGTTGGCGAAGGCCGCGAGATCTCGTTAACGGGGTTTATTTGGTAGGTTCAAGGAGTGGGGTCAACCCCACCTAACCACTCCTTTCCTCGTTTACCTTGTTGCATTGGGGACAGTACTTTCTGCTGTACCCCAGTAATCTACACTCGATGCATTTGAGTGGCTTGGAGAAGTCTCTCTTCTGTCTTCGAGGAGCTTCCGGCTTCTTAGTTCGGTCCTCTGAGGTCAGGTTTTTCCCGGCGAAGTTATTTTTCATCCCTTCCGATATCTCCTTGAGAGATAGTAGCACTTGGCTCAGTATATTGGTGAGTGGAGCCTTCTTCTCGCCATTAACTGCCTCTAGGCTCGGACTAGGTGTCGCCTCCGAGGGCGTCGGTGTGTAGACGACCTGGCGTGTCACCTTCTCGAGCACTTTCTCCATATGGTTCAACCGGTCGCTGATCTCCGGCTTATCACCGGACATAGATGCCACTTTACCCTTGCGGCCCTTGCTTCCGTCAGTGTGAGGGTGGTACGCTAACTCCGGGTACAAAGTTGATTGCGGATCCGATACCACCCGTTCTACCCTTCGCTGGTGCAAGCTGTTCTGTGCCGCCGTGGCCAGCGTGTTCAGGGTCCGTATGAAGTTCACTTCGGACCTACGCACTTGACCTTGAATATCCGGGAGAAGGTTGGCGTGCATCAGGTCCAATTGACAATCAGGCGTCATCTGGGGGTTTAGCCGCTTCATCAGGCCCATCATGTTAGCGATGTAAACATTCACTGGTTCGTCGGGGCCCTGATATCTCCCTCATTAGACGCTGTTCCTGCTGCACGCTGGTCCCAAACCACTCTCTTGCGTCCATCTCGAACTCAGCGTAGCAGAGCCTTTCCTCCTTCATTGCCTCGTACCAGGTGAGGGCGGGATCGACGAGTAGCTCCGATACCGTTAGGAGCATCTCGTCTTCTGTGAGTCCTGCGCCATTCCTCAAGTTGTCCAGCCTGGACAGGAAGGTGTCGATACTTGTATTGCCCTCTCCTGAAAACTTG